GGGAATAATTAGAGGCATTCGTTTCCACGCTACGAAAAACCTAACTGCTTTCCGTTCGCACCGTCGGCGAAAAAGAACGGGTGTAATTCGGTGACCCGATGCTCAAGTCGAGTCAGAAAAACTCAGACTACGGTATTAACCCTTTTGGCACAATGCGATACTTATATACGAGATAAATCCTAAAAAAAACTCTTGAGAAAATTATTAGAGTATTATTGAGATTATATATAAGTATCAAAAATTATCAACATGACATATTTTCGCCGAGTGTCGTGCTGGCGGCAAAAGTAAAGATTGTTTTATAAATATTTCTAAGACGGAACAACTTTTGAAAATAATTCACTCGCGTAGAAATTTATCGGAATAAGCTAGAACTATCGCCAGAAATAATATTGTTCGATTATTGTGTTATTACTTAAAGCCAAGCCAAGCGAGCGGAGCCAAAATTAAGACTAGGTAATCACTGGGACGTATGACATAAGAGGATTTCTTCGGAAACCGTCGTAAAGTCAAAATGTTTCCTACCCGACCGCTTGATTATGTTAATCCTACATGTTTTAAGCTTTGTGGCCAAAACGGTCGACCTACTTCGTGGCGGACCGCCGCTTTCCCCACGGGTATCCCGACAGGATAATGGAGCATCCTGCGGGCATCAGATTACGTCGAAAGAAATGACGGAAAACAAATCGATACGAGCCCGCAGCCGTTCGCCCGTCGGAGTTCGCGGTTGTAAAATAAATTGCCGCAACGTGACGACGTATCCTTGCAGTTTCATGACGCCTGATGTTATTACTGCTTTCACGTCGAGGTATTCGCATTTGTATCGTGCCTGGAAAACTTTGTGGAAAATTCTTTTCCATCGATTAGCAGCGAGTCGCCGCCGCAAATAAAACGTGCGTTAAAATCGCTACGAATTTCATTGCGGGCGAGGATCGTGAGAGGAAGTATAAAAAAAAAGGGAAGAGTCTCTCGTCCGAATAAATCAGATCAAAAAAGCGGCCATCCGGGAGAGGGCCGAACAATAGGTAAAAGGCATTCAACCGCTCGGTTGAATAGACGCTTACGAAATAGATCAATAAACCACTCGATATCTTTTAGCGCTCCTATGAAGATGCGAGATTGGTCGAAAGAGAAAAAAATTCAGCAGAGATGACCGGATGTGAATAATCCTCGGCGGGGCCCGCCGTACGAAGATGTGAGAGAAAGAAGAGCCCCAGCTAGAACGTCACTGAAAAAAAAAATAGACGACACACGTTTTGCAGGATCGGAAGAGAGAAAGAGAGAGAAAGAGAGAATGGTATACGCCGTTCTTGAGATCTGGAGGACGCCTAATCCTGTTTTGAAAACTCGGTCTCGCATGACCGTGACAAACTCGACACCTTAAGATAGTTTATGACGATCCCTTGATCTCCTCGGCCTGCGCACCGCTATTATCTTACAGCCCGTCCGGATCTTACCGCCGCCGAGAGGAGAAGAACGATGGTCTCCCTCTATCAATATTAATCTCCCCTCTCTTTCTCGGCCATTAATTGGGTCGCTATCTGTTGAAGGTAATCAAGCTCGTCGAGCTGGGCTGTTGGGCAAATACGCGCAGTGTTTTTGCACTTTTTTACCGAACACCCAATAAATCCCACGAGATTTAAGAAAACTTTCCCATGCTTCTACAAATTCAGAACATTTTTATTTCAATCCTGCGAAAGCACTAATGCAGGACATATCTATTCAATAAACAAATAGAGGTAATCCACGGAATAAATACAAGTTAAATAAAGTTATAAATAAAGAAAAAAAAATAAAAGAAAAAAAAATGGAAATTAGACTGACGTTCTTATCCATGTGGATGGCAACCACTGGTCCGTTCTCGAAAGGTGGGCATTGTGTCGGGCTTCGTATTTGTAAATTTTGGCCGCGCGGTTATATCCCTCGATTTGCAAGGCGCCGTGGAGAAAATTGAATCCGGCTTGAAAGGAGAAACAAACGAGTGGAAGAGCCCGGGCAGAGTTGATTTAATATGGCCGTCCGTCAAGGCGCGTACGCGTCACGCTCGATTCACGTGCAAGAGACGGACGTCTGCTTTCTTCCCTCTCCGAAATCTGTCTAGTCGCGTGGCACGACGCGGGCGTTACCCGCCGTGCCTTTCAAAGATCCTATCGCTGCTCGCTGACGTTCCTTCGCTCGGTTTGCTAAGCTGAACTAACCACGTCGACGGAAAAGAAATTTCGCGAGGCCGACTGCGCCGGTTGAATGAGAATTGGATTAATTATGGCACGACCGCAATGCGAAATATACTCTCTACTGGAGACCGTCTCTCTCGTAAAATTGCCTTACGGCCCTGGGAAGGATTATTTTTTGTGGTACGGACGGTGATGAGATACTTTCGGGATAATATCGCGCGCAGAGATTACTGCAAATGCCGAAGCGATATACGCGATGCGTAATTCAAGCTTTCATTGTACCGCGACGATGGCGCGTTGCGTGCCTATGAAAACACATAAATCGCCGAATTCATTAGCAAGGGAATCTTCAAAACTCCATTCGCGTCCAGCCGTACCCATGTCAAGGCAGATCCCGCTGTTTCTGACAAGAGCGCGGTGTCGTGTTCGCACGGATGACCTCATGCCGCGGTGCCCGGCTTCTCTCGTAACCGGACGACGGGCACACGTGGTGTGCCCCGGCGTACACACGCCGTGCCGGCATCTGCATGCTTCATTGAACATTCCGCGCACGAAACGTTGCTCAAGCAAAACGGCCCCGCGCTAGACCGCATAACGCCGACGCGCCGTTGGTATTTATGGACGCAATTCGGAAAGCGACTGCACAATCGAGCACGCCCGTCGATTCCTTGCATTCACCATCGCCGAGCACACGCGCCACGTAGTCCAAGTTATCGGCACGTGCTTTAATTAAATTTATCGGTTTCGCGAAACCACACACACACACACACACGGGCGTGGGATACACAGTTCGCTGTAAATCTCGATGTTTGCGATCGTAGTGCCCCGTCCAATGCGTGTACGGCTTTAGTTGGACCTTATAGCGCATTGTTTGCAAATAAAACCCGAACGGGAATTAAACTTGCCGACAGGTCTGTGTAAATTCGTATCGGGTTGCATCTGCCGTAAAGTTGAATAACTGCCCCTTTAAATCCCGTCGGAGGCTAATACATTCCGATTAATGCAGAGGCTTAAATACACGGGAAAGATAACGCCTTTTACGGATTTAGGAATAATAAATTCAATCTATCGGACGCATTTTTTTTCCTTCTCATGAACTTTCTTTCTCCTATGGCTCATATGAATATTCGGCTCTGACAGAGCTGTCGCTGGCTCTAGCGCGGCTCGACCGAAGAAGTCTCCCTGTGGATTTATCGCTGGACAGAGACTCACGGGGCATTTTCGTTGATCCCCGTCGTCGGTCCCTTTGATGCGCGGGCGTGGGCCGCGCAAATCGAATCGCTCGGAGTCTCATCACGTTCCCCGTTGTAATCATGGCTATCCCGCGCCCTGATCCGGGGCTGATTATAATTTATGTTTCGTATTCAACCGCGTTGCACACACCGCTTCCGCCGTTCACGGATCCGCTTCTGCGGCTTATTCCGTGCCCCCGTCGGTGGCTAGATTACGTGGTAACATACTGCCGCTGCAATTTCAAGCCTCCGTCAAAGGCTAGAGACTCGAGCCACGAGTGAACAAACGTTGAAACGTTCGCGAGAGAGGGGAACGACTCGTCTATATTGCAGTCCCTGCTGCAGGGTTCCCCAGTCTCTCTGCCATCGTTTTTATATACGCAGCCGTTATTATTACGTTTGATTGAAGTTTTTGTGCGCGGTATCTCTCGTACAAGAGATATTTCATCCCTAATAAAATCTGTCGCCCGAGAGAGTAGCGAGAGGCTCACCGAAAGCCGTAGTACAAACGGACTTAATTTCCCGGCGCTACCGGCTCGCAATCACCATCGCTCTTTGCGTCCGCGCGACTCTGATTATAATTTATTCGTTTCCTATCCCGAGTCGCGCTCGGCTGTCAGCGCAATCGCGTCTGTCCCCCCAGGCGTACGTCGGATTACATGCCGATATACGACGCGATCGTATAATCTCCATCCGTAACCAAATATAATAAGTTAGTCTGTCGAGACTCGAGACAGCGGCGCCTCTTTTCCAAAAAAAAAAAAAAATGCGAGATAAACCCGCACTATTCTATTCCACTGTGCTCTTTTAAAGGAATTTTAAAGGTCGCGACGATCGTTCCCAAAAATCAGATCAGATCGGCTCGCCAGCCCGCCCCTTCTCGTCGACGAAAGCACACGCGCGGGCGCGCGCCCGCACGCTCGTACGTGAACATCTCGTCGACACGCCGCGGGCATGTTTTCTCAGCTGGTGCCCCTAACCCTCGGTGGTTAGGTCGTTCCCCTCTCGTTGTTCCCTGCCACCCCCACAAGCAGATCCTGGAAGATCCTTTCAGGACACGGTCGGCTACCCACAAAGGATCCGGCCTTTCATACGCACGTTATTATACTCTTTACACAATATCGTTCCAGCTCGCCCTCCCCACCATCATCGGCTGAGGAAGAAATACGCGTTGCCCATACACACTCGGTACTGTATACCCTACGCCCACGCATTGTAGCCGGGACCATAGGCAACGAGAGACGTCGGCGGAGCCGACGAAAGCCTCGAGACTTTCTCGTTTAATTTGTTGTTGTAGCTGCTTGAAACGCGGATCGGGCCATTCGTCCGTCCGCAGGATCCCTCAAACATTCATTATATTTTTTTTTCTACTTCGTAACGCGCGTACGACCGCGATTCGCGCTGGTGGGGTTGCGGGACCCGTCTCGCTCGCAAGAAAGGTCTATATTTGTTCCGTATCTCACGAGCGGTCTCTATTAATTGAGAGATCGCGGAGCAGGTGGACCGGCGTGCGATCCGCGCGATAGAAGAACAGCCGAATATCCTTCGGGATCCGTTTCTCTTTCCCCTTTTCGTGCTTTCAGATCATATTAGCTTTTATCCTGTAATGTTTTGTATATATATTGTTAGTTATACATCGTATATAATAACAGATTGCAAAACACGTCGCGATCGATGCATTACGATAAATAGCACGCGTCCGCGCGCGCGGATATATGTATCGATTATCTATTTACGTTGATAATAGTAATAAGTTTTATGACGATCGCGAGGTCTCATTAAAACGATCGATTCGGATCGCCCTTGGTGATCGTATCGCGGATGCAGCTTGATGCGATTAGGATGCGGCATTATCGCGGTCCATTAGCGATTGTTTGCGAAGAAAACGAACGAGTCAATTGCCATCGTTCGGTGAGTCGTAAAAGCCGTACGCTGCGCCGACGGTCTCGAAAATTTATTGGAGCGTCATCTCGTTCAGGAGGATTCTTCTGTCTGATTTGACGCATTTGCCCGTCCGCTGCATCGAGAATGCACTTTTCGGTTTTCTAACTTGAATAGACTCCTGACAATACATAGTTCAAACGGCTTGTTCGCATTTTTATTATACAAGTAACTATTGTTACGGATTTTGACGGAACGAGGATACACGCTGCTAAATATGTACAATTGTACAAATGATAACGTGTCTTTCGTAAAACGTACGGAAAAAATCAGAATCGTCCAAGCCGATCCGTGAATGTGCTCAGGAATGTTCGTCGCGCTACTCTAGACGGGAACACCGGCCCCATGCACTCCAGCAGCAATAGATTTCTCTCTTTTATAGCTCTGTGAAATTCTTCTTCGGATATTACACCGTCGCGATCGATGTCGAGTTTTTTCAACAGCGAATCAATCAAATCCTATGACGCCGTAAAAGCTATTATTTTATATAAACTTTATGCTTGGAAGATACGAATTTTTAGTATCGTTGATAATTGATATTTTATTAGTAACATTAATATTCGAGCCTTATCTATCATTGCTAATTAATTAACCTTTACAGCTTCATCGGAATCTTCGTCTGTTGGCAATTTGATCAAGCAACCTCGCATTGAGGGAAATATTTGCTCTTTCTTCAATTTGTTAGTATGCATAAAATCGTATATCTGCGTTTCATAAATGTTACAATTAGAAAATGATTATTAAAGCTTAGTCTCTCTGCATTTTTTTAAAGACAAAACGATTTTAATTTTATAAAAAATTTGGATGCAGATTAAATAATTAGAATAATTATAGAAACATAAAGATTACACTAAAAGCGAAATGTATCCTTTCGTTCAGGCTGCCGCGAAGAATTGTGGAGAGTCCTTCAATCCACTGTTCCAGATGAATCTATACGATTATAATTTTAATTACAGAAATATGAATGATTAAATATACTTACGTTAATTTCTCATACTTGCAGAACGTTTTTCTTGTCAAACGCAGAGAAAATTCTGTCGATATATAAATGCCGAATATTTTCAGTAAAATCCAAACCAGAATGTAAAACATCTCGAAACACCAATCTTGTCATAGGGCCCAAAGTTTGTGTTATTTTTTTATGTATAACCGCTAACGCTATAGTAAAATTAAAATTTATCCAATTGAAATATAGAAATTATATTAAATTAAGAAAAAAAAATTAATATGTAACAGGAGTATATCAATTTATTTTATTTTACTGAATAACCTTCGACTTCTTTCACATTGAAGTGAGTCTTTCGCGCTAGTTTCTTGAATAAAGCATTATTTTTTCTTCTAAAAACAATTTCCGACAAGGGCCTATTTAGAATGTCAATGGGCAATTCGGCCGGCATTTTGCTCTTGTAAATTTAATCTACACTTAATAAATTTGTCTAACGAATTTTGATGATTTTGAGAAATGTCAATACAGAAGCCGAAAAAGAAGACTATCAATTCTTTCGACACACATCTCTTAATAAATCATTCTACAAAATATCTTGGACGCTTGTATATTCTACTACATCAATATTTTGATCTATTTATATTGATCTCGCGATTGTTATTTAATAAATTGCTTCTCCAATAATCGCATAAACATTTAAATAACAAGTATGTCACGATCTAACAAGAAATAACTAAAGTTATACCCTTCACTCGACTGGCCCATTAGCTCAGTTGGTTAGAGCGTCGTGCTAATAACGCGAAGGTCGCGGGTTCGATCCCCTCATGGGCCAAGTTATATTTTTTCCTAATTTTCTGTAACATTAGTATTTTTTTATAATAACCATCTTTAGTGCTTGTGAATAACTTAAAACTTTCGCGACTTAATTATAATAAATATTTATTTCGACGATTATATAAATTTAAAAGAGTACTGAGATTATCGTGAATTTTGATTAAACACGTTTAAAATAGAGATAAAGATTATCTAAAAAGAGATAAAAATTATCAATCAATATTTCTCAATGATGTATGCCATGCTATCACACAGAGATACAACATTTTTTGCAATCTTTCACTCTCCGTCGTATATATAAAGTTTATATCGAGTTTATATCGAGTTTCTCGATTGTTTTTGCCTGCTTCGCAACAGAACATTGCTCGGACAACCGCGTCAGTTTTTCGTTGTTCTAAAATCCATGATTCTCCATCCACGGGATACCTTGGACTGGTATCGTCGCATTCGAGATGCATGTAACGCACAAAGGCTTATCGTAAAAAGATACGCGTGTACAAGACGCGCGTAGTCTCATATGGAAAGCTGCCACGAAATATCCGGCAATATAAAGGCAATAAAACAGTATAGCTGGGTTCTCACGTGGTCGTGAGAAGAAGAAGAAAAAGGCCGTAAAGCCGTCTGTCCGGAGGGACGTGAGCGAGACAGCGAACGAATTTCGGCGTGATAACCGATGAGTCGTGAACGTTCAGCACGAATTCGTTTCACGGAAGCCGTCCGACCGGCATAAAAGACGACAATAAAACCCGGCCTAAGTATATCTAATGACATCATTTGGTTGGCAAACGTAATAAACGGGCACAAAGCCGCGGGGATTTCGTCGAGAATGTAAAAACGCGGGAACGGCTTAAGACGGCCGAGAAAGGGTGAATCTGTATGTGCTCGCGTATGTTTTGCGGGGCCGCGCGAGAGGACACGGAACGGCCGATGGGCGAGAGGACGAGGGAGGAAGATGTTTGGAATTTCGTGTGCGAGACCAAAGTCCCTCGCGAACAAAAAAAAAAGTAAGGGAATACCCACTTCCAATCCTTTCTGCTGCCACACGTGAACGCTTGCGTCGTTTTAAGAGAAATCTTTAAGAGAGAGAGAGAGAGAGAGAGAGAGAGAGAGAGAGAGAGAAACGTGGCTCCGTTGGCGCGCTTCAGGGCGCATTGTTTGACCGGCCGGCAGCAAATCCTATCGGCAAACGGAATACGGGCTGATCCTCTCGAGATCATCAAGCCTTAGTTCGTAAATAATACTCCCGAGATCTTTACGCGAGGTCGCGTAATACGGTGAATTTTCTTAATCTTTCCAAGAGTGGGAGATAAGAATGGGTGAACCGTGGAGTGAGGCACCGTATATGCGCGTGGAACTTTTCGTCTCAAATAAAGAAGTAGATAATATTTTACATCTCGCGAGAGCGGCTTAAAGATGTTCGGTCGGCGGGATGGCAAGGCGTACAGATCTTTGTTTTGGAAATATCATGTACCATCGACGATAATTTCGTGAATCCCCTCGAACCCACGTCACTCTGCTAAATCTAATCGGGCCCGACGCATCCGCGCTCCATTCCGGAGCCACGGAATGCCGGTCGTCCGCCGAAACCTATCTCCTATATACCTACGCCGAGAAGAAAAAGTCGTCCCGATACACTTTCGCGTATTTGTCTTAGGCAACAACGAGAATCCGAGATACATACCATCGGCGCGAACGTCATCGCGCGTCCGCAAAGAATCCGCCCTTTTTTTTTTATTCCCGGTCCCTATAATCACGAGCTCATTAGTCCCCGCCGGCGGATAATTTACGAGCTGGACGTTACTCGCGCGGCCGATTGCCGAGGGACCGCATTGTTTCGCTTAAGTAGGCAACGAGCCCCGCGAGAACGGCGAAAGGATCGCTTTCGCGAAGGGCGCGCTGTAATATCCCGGCCGAGGGAAAAGAAAACGAAGGGCGAGGAGACGGCGCCTCGTGTTCCTACAGCGTAGCCGAGCGTTGGAACGACTGTAATCTTGGGCTATCTAACGTTGTAAATGTAGCGAGGTGATGATTTGCGACCTCCCTGCAGCTCCGTGGGGAGGACTGGCGTGTGGGGATACACACGGACCTTTAGATTCAATTTCGCGGGGCGTCAGCCGCTGACGCGACGTCCGCCCACCTTCCGCGGGACGTTGATGTACGACACGGTAGACCGCGGTAGACACACCGGACCCCGTCTGGAAATTTTCAATCGCGGCCGTGGTGTAAAATAAAATTCTGATCCATAAATTCGACGGGCTTTGTAAGAAATATTATAATTTTACATGAAATTAATTTGACGTTTTCAAAAAGATATTAATTTATAATATGGTATCATAATTCAACTCAAACCAAAGCATAATTTTAGCAACCTGTTCTTATTTATTTCTTGTCTCTGCTTCTGTGTGTGCATACATCTGGAGTAGAATTTATGCATATATTATTATTCCGGCGTACTTTAAAAGGAAGCAAAAAGGAGAAAAAAATAAATGCGTCTGACAGATATAATACATCTACTGTGATACCATCATTTAAAGATTGCGACAGGTAACACAACCGTGAGAATCGAGCACGTTCATTTGGCATATATCGTGCTTGAAAATATCTGCATGAGAATCACCCTCCATCGACGCACCGATGCAGGCGATGCGGACGCATCGATTTCGCTTGGTATGCCAGGAACGCGAGGTAGAGTTGCAACGATCCTCTCGTGAAGCTCGATCATTGAGAGGATCGGGAAAGGCTATTCGAGTTAGCTGAGCATTACGCAAGAGTCAGACACGGCAAGAGGTATGTCTATCACTCGACGTGCATACATACACGCGTCAACACGTACGCTAATATACACGTGCGTGGTAAAACACGATATTAAAGTCACTTCGGACTGAGAGACGCGTGACTTAATCTACGAGGTTTCTCTTTATTATTTTCGAGCTTCAAAGACATTCAAGATAATGCTCGATAGAAATTCAGAGAAATAATATAAGTATTAGAATTAATCTATTTGATTCAAATGAAATTATGTATCCAAATGTGCTGCCACGGTATTAATTGTATCATTATGAATTATTATCATTAGACCAAATTCACGCGAACTATATTTAACACACGCTCGACTTTCGTGCCCTCCACGCTTCGAGTGGCGATATTCATAGCTCGGCGCGCGCGAACGAGCTCTCTCTCCACTACGTCATTTACAAACGGCAAGCGGTCCATCATAAATTTAGCGCGCTATCGCCGGCTGCGATCGTATTTATCTAACAAATAATTATTCCTGATTATCTCGCGGGTGATGCATGCCTCGGCAAACAGAGATCAAAGATACGGCGCCCGACATCCCGTGGGCCTTTGTTTAACGCTTAACCAGCCGAAAGGTACCGGTCAACAATTTCGTTTTATTTACGACGTAGAGTGGTGATGGTAGAGTGGTGGCGGAGCTGGTCCGGAGCTTAGTTCGAGAACGGAAAGAGCGTGGGTGCGAGGGTTGAGGGCCTATTACCGCAGTTGCCTTGGGGGTAGCCCCTATCCCGATGTCTGCTGCAATCAAATTTTAGAGTTATTGCCACGTGACTCCACGTGGGCCAGCTCGGAGCAGCCTGGACCGTGGAGAGGAGCCTCAAGAAACACAGACTATTTTAGAATATTTTGTGTCACGGATTGTTCCCGTATTAGTTTCGATGACGGCATAGAATAATGAAGCTTCAGAAAGGGTATATAGAATTGCATGGAAAGAAACGTAGGGATTAGAGCTATTAAATAACGGTTGAGATATTATAATTATATTGCACGTTATATTCGAAAAAGGAGATTATATAATTTCTCTAAAATTGCTTTTTTTTTTAAATATTAATTACATAGCATTCAAAACGTACAAACCTACTTTTCTCACGCAAGTCTTTTATGCTTCACCATCATTTAAAACGTCTTTCTATTGAGCCCGCTCGGGGCTATAATTATGGGCAGAACCGGCCGCGGCGCAACGGAATCCCATGGTGGTAGCCCCCGGATGGACTACTACTAGATTCGAGAGGAAAATGAAACGGGCTACCCATAAAATTTACGTGAACGATCAAGCGCAGTCCGAGGAAAATGTATGCCGGTTTCTACCGACGACTGGTGGGGAGATTTGATGTCTCGTGGACAGAGAATCGTTATGTAACAACATCAAAGTGAGTTGTACGACAAATGTCGAGGGAAGACTCGAACTAAGTGAACCGTGAATCGATGGGATCAAACGGGCAAGAGGGGACCGTAGGGATTTCTTTTCCATGCCGTATTCCGCTATTGTCGACGGAACACCTTGGACGTCATGCCGCGGCTTTGTGCAACTGCGAGACTCACATGCAGCGATGGACCAAACACCCGAGCTTTTCGGAAAATTGAATACGTGGGTGGCGGAGTCACTCCCTGGCTGATGCCTGAAATCCATCCTAATCAAGAATCCGGAATCCGAGAGAACGTGACCGAACAGATTTGTATAAGATGATGATTGAGCAAAAACACATTCATACCGCACGCACCGCCAAATATTGATAAATGTAAATACGCTGGAAACAGGAAAGAAGCTGAGAAGATGAACAAGCAAATTCACTTGTGCGTAGTGAGAATAAAGAACTATTTTGATAAGCAACATGTAAATATAGGAGAAATGATTACATAAAATAATTTTGAAAGAATGATTTTGCGAGATGAGATGGCGTTTTCTTTTTTTTTAGAAATTGGCAATATTTTATGCAAATGGAAAGCCAACGTATTTTCTAGGCTCTCTGAA